CTCTCCCTTTTCTCTCTCTCCCTTTTCTCTCTCTCCCTTTTCTCTCTCTCCCTTTTCTCTCTCTCCCTCTCTCCAACTGCTACACACACTCCTGCTATGTTTAAGATAATGAGATAATCTCATGTCCCCAGACATCTGAAGACATAGAAAATATATTTTCTAATATTTGTATTTGAGCGACAGTGGCGATTGCTAGTAAAGAATTTCACCATGCAAATTCAATGGAAGTATTGGAAAATTCCATTAAGTATTGGAAAAATTAAAGAATATTTTCAATATGAATTGACAAAACATTTAAAATATTTTTTACATCCGTTCAAAGAAATTTCTAACTAAAAAAATAAGTGTATTGGTGCATGAAGTACAATTGGTCACAAAAGTCTTGTTCTAATCATCTAAATAGATTGAAGTTACCATTGGTGACTCAGGCCCTTTGACATCAGCTCAGGGAGCCCAATGCTGAAGGTGGCAGCCTTGTTAAAGCTACCTAATTTCTAAGTAAAGAAGACAAATTTCAAGAAGAAACACAATTTCGACTTTAAATTCTAAATGATTTTTCTTAGAAAACTTGGTAACGTGTTCCACAAAAAAATTAAATAATCTCTCATCACAAGAAAATGTATGAATATACATTTTGCATGAGTTGTCTCTCAGGAAAGTCCTGATGCAAGAAAAAATAGATAATATCTCTCTCAATGGAGATGTTTTCTTAACCTATGTCTCCTTCAAAAGTTCAATCTCTTCAAGGTACTCTGAGGTCATTAATGCTTCAGAATCCCTTACATTTAAGTGATAAACACAATGAAACTATGAATCTTTTCTTCCTGTCAACAACAAAGTATGTGAAAATTCTTTTTTTATACAGGAAATCATCTATCGATGCAATGCTCCCAGCCCTACGTGAGATAACATCACCAGAAAACAACAAAACTGGAAGCATAGGAGGGCAGAGATGAGACCTGCATATATGCAACAATCTACTTTATCCGACACCATGGTTTCGGTTTTCCAATTTATGTATGGGGTCGTAGTGATACTGTTGTTCCAAGTTGTCATTATCATTAACATTCATTTGCAATTTTAAATTTTATATTAGAGGTTTTATAAGTTTATTGACAAAGTGCATACCAAATGCCAAGAAGGTGAACATTTTTGTTCCAAGCATTTGAAAATAAATTTGACAATTATATGTATGTTGACAGGGACCATGGAAATGTGCATCCATTGTATTTTATCCATTTTAGCATGATAGTACTAAGAGTTAAGTGTATTGTAGCCTTGTGTCCAGTAAAATGGACTTAATATCATATGTGGGATTGTTGCAGAGCTGCCATGTTGTCTATCTGGCGATTTTATGTGCCTCAAGAAGTTTCTAAGAAATATTTTATGTAAACTAGACACAAGGTTAGATATGTCTGTTAGATCTTCAATAAAGGACTACCATTCTGATGAATTACTAAGACTTGAACTGTTTTATAGTAATATGTGTGGGATTAAGAAACATCAAAATCAAAGTTTCAAGAATGAATGCCTATTGTAGACTTAAGTTTTGTTGTTGTTGGGTTTTGTTTATATTTCTTGGTTTTGTGGCAATTTAATATATTTAAAAAGTCTACCTAAGATCTGAATGTTAAATTTCATCATCATTTTGTTTGTAAAAATAAAAGAAAAGGTAACCATTAAACTTATAAATGACTCTTCTTTTTTTTTGAGATTCCTTAGAAAGTATCCAATTGAACATCAGAATAATTTGATGACTTGAAACAATCCTCACAATTGTAAAAATTGACACCTATATTTTTCTTTGATTATACTTCAACATAACAACAGTATCAGAAGTTATTTCAAACATGTTTAAAGTCATATGGTAAATGTATTTAATTAAGGTGTTTGTTATTCAGATGGTATTTTTATGATACTCCTTGATAAGTTTCAACTTTAGTTGTAGTAACTACCTTGGGTATGTAGATATATACAATGCTACAGAGACTGTTTTTCATACCTGCCCAAAGTGCAAAGAATTGTCTGCAATGAAAAGGACTGTGGGTGATTGTAATTTAAGCAAATATTCTAAAGTAAAATGTTGTTTTTGATCTACTGCCTATTATCCCAATGACATTTTGAGACTGTATCTTACAGGCAGAAGATTATTTCCAAGCTTGCATATGTCATGAAGGTACCGTAATTTGCTTATGCTGTGAATCTAAGCCTTCTGCACATCATGTTAATATGAATTTGTGAATTTTTGAACACACCTTCTTCTTCTTACTCTTCTTCTTCTTCTTCAATTGTCATGTATCTTGTAAAAAGGCAAGTGTATAATTTTTATCAATACTCTTGCTTCTGTCAATCTTATAAGTACTTCGAGAATTTATCATCTTCAACTTTTCTCTAAATGTTATTTTATTGCACAATATTTTACAAAAATTCATGTAATGACTATCAGGCCTGAGTATTAGCAGGCTCACCTAAGCTACACTTGCCATTTCTCTTTAAAATTTGAATATCTACAATTTAATAACTTTATAACTTTATATATATATACAGTTCTCTGGTCCATTAAAGCACAAAGAATCCAGTTAGTTAAGGTTGTGATACATTCATGTATAAAAAATGTAGAGTATTCTGTATAAATGTACATAGGTAGAATTGATGCATCTTGCTTTGCACTCTGTGAAAATAAGAAGTTATAATAATTATCAGTTATAAAATGATTTAAGTGTCTATGTTTCAAAAGGTATTAATGTCATTTTTTTTTATAAAAATCATTGTTTTAGTTAAAATTTTTATGAGTGCTTCCGATGAAAAGGTGTAAATAATTTATGATGGACTCTACATAAAAACAATCACAAGTGATTAATGAGAGACTGAAGATATATATTTTCAAGTATTAAATTTGAACTTTTCAGTAAAAAAAGTATTCTTCTAGTTTGAAATTGAACTTATTTTATTAATTTATTTGTCAATTAATTTCATTATTAAATTAATTTAGAATGTCATTTTGGCTACATTTAATATAATGTTAAAAGCAGATATAAATGATTTAGATAGAAAACTTTTTTTTTTTCCCATTGGATTTCAATGCCAATTACTTTTTTTATGTATGAACTTTTTATATTAATGGCAAGGTTCATATTGTTACTGTTAAGAATTGAAAAATGGTGTTCTGATTCTACCTTGAATCATACATTTGAAAATTTTGTCCCTTTAATTTTTACATGACTCTTGCTCTGTCAATCATTTTTCCTAAAATTTTTATCACTTGCATCTTTTCTGTGGATGTTACTTTGTTGCTGAAAACACAACAAGAGTTATTTATTTCATGGTGAGAATCAGAAGTTTGCCTAAGACTATCAAGTTCACAATAACATTTTTTAAATATTTCTTACATAAACTGTTCTTCAAGAAATAATAGTATCCTGATGAAACTATTTTTAAATTTCTTTTTGCTATATTTTTTCTACTTTAACTCATTAATGTATTATTATTCATTGAAAACACTTGTTTAGTAAGCCTATTTAGTTCATACATCACTCTTGTTATCAACGTTACAAAGAAGAGTAAAAGGATATTATTATTATCATGGGTTTTCTTTACTTTTCAATAAGCTTTATTAAGTGTCTTCTTTGTTTCTGAAAGGATAAAGTTGCATAAATTTCCTTTCAGAAGTTATGAATAAAGTTTCCTTGTGGTCAGGCATCCAACCATGCTTGGACATTATAGCATTTTATTCTTCACCCTTTTCATATCTCAACTGAAAAATTGCATAGATTTTTAAATAAATTACCAATTATAAATTAATATTGTAGAGTCCTGTTTATAAAATGTATCATTTTTGCCTATACATTGTTCACAAACTCAACTAATTATTCTAACTTTTTATTATGCACCCAATCAGCAAACCATTGTGAAGCTAAGAGAAACTTGATGCTAACTGTTTTAGAATTGACTTGCAGGCACAATCTTGTTTCCCTTCCTAACACTTCATAAAATATAAAAGTGTGGAAAATTGCTCAAATACAAAAAGATTAAAAAAACATTCTCACTTTTAAAGTAGTGCACAAATTAAGATGTTATAAGGTCTCAAATCGGATTGAAGTACAAGTATGTGAATACGGGTGTTGCTTCTTGACAGAAATATATTAAAAACAAGTGGTCTGGGACCAGTTCCTGTTATTTCTCAAATGTTTTAATTTTAATTTGAGAGCAATTACTGTTGTGGAATTATTTTCAAGGTATACTTATACATGCATATTTGGTAGCCAGACTTGCATCATTTGTTTCCATTAAATAAAAAATGGGTTGTGTATCATATATATTTGTTTGTTTTTCTCATTTGAGAAAAGCAAAAAGATGATTTAAAGACTATTCACATTACAAAAAGAATTTGATATGATTTTTAATGATCTATGATAATATGTTAATTTAATGATCAATTCATCGTCCTTTATAATAAACCCTTGATGAAATATTTGTAATGGAAAACAATTGCAATTAAAATTTTCAAGAAATTTTATAATTTGCTGTCATTCTGTATTACTTTAGTATTCAAGACTTTGTGCTGCATTGCACGATACTCATAGTACATGGTATAATTTGTACATAGTACAAATCATACATTTTAAACCAATTTTCATTTGTCTCGTGCAGTTGCTGAAATGCAGTTCTAATGCTTTCTTTTTGTTAAACCAATTTTAGTGTTTCTTTTCTAATTGATTACTTGCTCAAATATATCTGTTTTGAATTTTGTATGATGAATTGTTCATACTTCAAAGAGATGCTTCCAAATAAAGAAAACCAGAAATCTCATTTATAGTATTTTTAATTATAGACAACCTTATAGAAAGAAAGCAATTAATCAGGTAAAGAAGAAGGGCCAGTTATAAGGAAGAACCTGCTACTAATCAGTATAAATAACAAAATATTAAGTTTACAATATAAATAATGTGAATCTCTTAATAATGATTCTTAATTATTCCTTTCAGATTAAATGTTCATGTTCTTTGATTCTTAATAATGTGCTATTGTTAAATAATCTTCTTAACTGTATTAGTCCAGTTTCCAAGGTAGATGTCCATGCAATCTTCTTTGTATTTGGCACTTTTATTAACTTCTTACTGATGATTCCTGAACAAATAATAATCAACAATGTAAACCTCTAATTTGTGCTTCATACATGGACCTGTATGTGTTTAATCTCTCTTGATTCTGTGAAACTTTGAGTATTGCTCTAAAGAATACTATTCCTGTTTGAAAAAAAATGGAATACTTGTTGTACATAAAAGCAACTTAATTTGAAAATGCTTTTAATGTGAAAAATCTCTGGTGTAAATAATTTGAATGCAAAGAGGTGTCTGTCAAAATCTACAGATTTCAAATAATTATCCTTTTCTTTGTGAATTCTGTGTGTCACATTGACAGCTATTGATCATAAAGGAAAAATTGAAAGTCAGCACAACAGATCTTATGTGATGTATAAGTCAAAACAGAAATTGCAGAACAGTGGACCACAGGAACTGTAATATAAATTTGGATTACATGTTACTAAGTAGACATTTAAGAATCTATAGAATGTACGAGAGGAATGTTTTTATTGTTTGGGATTTGTACTTATACCTGTGCACAGAACAATTTTTATTCTTGCACATTGATTGCATGTTTATATATTTCTTTAGACAATCACTACTTAGCCATTTTGTAAAGTGATAATTTTTCCTAGTCGTTAATGTCATTTTACATATTTATATCTTAAATAAAGTTCTTTATCTTGCCAAGGTTATCTAGCTTTTTCTAATTTTCCTAAAATTAATTCAAATATAAAACAAAAAATTTATTGAGAAATTTTAATCATTTATTGATATTTTGAATTTAAAAAAGAATCACAAAAATGTTTTCTTCTGCTCATATGTGAAGTGAGGTTGATTCTAAGCAAATCAATGAAAAAAATTGTCAGCAATTTCCATCAACCCCTTCTTTGAAAGTACTGTTACTAATACCATGCCTGTGAACCGGTAATATTTCATTGATACAGAAAGCACACATCTACTTATAAGTATGTCCATGGGGAGGGGGGTAGAGGGTCCATGACGCTCCTAAAAATTTTGAAAAGAGCCCTGTAGCCATACATAATGAAACATTTATTTCTGTACATATGTTCCTTATTTGCCTCTTTCTTAAGCTGATAATTTGGGTAACTGTTCCACCACATTTGGGGCATTTGTACTCTAAATCATGTGGCAAACCTGTAAATTGACTCATCATATAAAATAATTTGGTTTATTTATTAATTGTATCATTAAAGTTATAATTTTATTCTCCTGACAAGTTTTATTATTTCCTAGTAAAATATGCTATATGAAAATAAAAATGTTTAATGGAAAAGGGGACCTAGTGGTTCACAGAATTATCGTCAGCCCCTTCCTCCTGTTTTAGGCAATGCACATCTATGCATTTACTTCTAGCATTATATTAAGTTTTCTGGAAATTCATCAAGAAAGAATTCTAGAAAAAATTTGGGAATAATATTTAGGGTTGCCTGTAAATTACATAATCCAAATTTGGAGTATTGTGGATATCCATTTGCAAAATGCATTGATAATGTGAGCTCCCCTAACCACAATTTATAAAAAAGTAAAAGTAAATTATGTAACAATTTGTGTTAATTTTATTTTGGTATATATATTA